CCTGCTGCGTGGAGCTGGGCTCGAACCGCTGAAGTATCGACCATTTCTGGCTGGCAACTTTCAGCGTCATTAAGCCGCTGCGCCACCGCGTCCATCAACTATAGATAAACTGATTGCAGAGCACAAAGATTCAGTTTGGGTACTTGTTTTAAAAGCCACGAAACCTGTGAAATAATGGCCCCTCCCAGATGATCTATCTGCTCTGATTCAGCCCAAGATGTTGAGGGCAGAAAGGGATCATGGTGCTTTCCCACCCAGTACTTCTACTAGCTTTGCTGTTTATTTATGATTTATATATTTATTAATCACATTTATATAGCCAGCCATTTCACTAAAAGCGACTCTGGGTGGCACACAACAATTGAATAAAACCACAGATACATAAAAACAATCGTTATAAAAATATTTTAAAGTCATTATTAAAAAACAATATTATTACAAATTTAAATTATGCAAACCACATGGAGAGAATAAAGATATTGACCACAATTGAGCCATCTAAGAATGTCTCCGGTTCCCTGGGGCCCCAGGCCTGGTGACATAACCAGGTCTTGAGGGACTTCTGGAACAACAGCAGGGATGGAGCTAACCTGACTTCGGGGGGTGGGGAACAATGCTCCATAGGGCGGGTACCACTGCAAAGAAAGCCCGCCTCCTGAGACCCACCAAATGTAAGTCCCTGGCTGATGGAATGCGTAGCATACCTTCCCTGCCTTATCTAATGGATGGGCTGATGTGATCGGGGAGAAGCAGTTCCTCAGATAACCTGGCCACATGCCATGAAGGGCTTTAAAGGTCTAAAACAGCACCTTGAATTGGACTGGAAGCAGACTGGCAGCCAGTGAGCCCACGGAGCAGAGGTGTAATATGTGCTTTTCTAGGAGCACACATAATTGCCTGCGCCACTGCATACTGCAACAGTTGAAACTTCTGGATACACTTCAAGGGCAGCCCCATGTAGAGTGCATTACAGTAGTCCAATCTGGAGGTGACCAGGGCACGAGTGACTGTGAGTAGAGCCTCCCGATCCAGGAAAGGGCGCAACTGGCGCACAACACAAAGCTGTGCAAAGGCCCTCCCAGCCACAACTACCATTTGCTCTTTGAGCAGGAGTCATGAGTCTAGGAAGACCCCCAAATTGCACACCAGGTCTGTCTGGGGCAGTGCAACCCCATCCAGAACTAAAGGTAGCGTGGTCCTAGAACCAGTAGGCCCCAAAACCCAGAGCCATTCAGTCTTGCCAAGATTCAGCTGAAGCCTGTTGTTCCCCATCCAGACCCTCACAGCCTTCAGACACTGGGATAAGACATTCACAGCATCGCTTAATTCGCCAGGGGCAGAGATGTATAGTTGGGTATCATCAGTGTACTGATGATACTCCACCCCAAGGTGATGGATGAGCTCACCCAGCAGCCTCGTGTAGATGCTAAACAGGAGAGGGAAGAGCACCGAACCCTGCAGCACCCCACATCATAGGGGCCCAGGATGGGACCTCTCCTTCCCAATCACCACCAAGTGGAATCCACTGCTGTTTGCTGTTACTGTACACAGATTGTCCGAATACCACCTATGCCTCCAGCAGTGTCCATAACGAGCCACAACAATCTCAAAATTGTTGAGACACATCATGAAATCATTGTGAAAATAACACACCTTTCTTCTTTTTTTAACATTTATAAACAATAATATAGTGGAGATTTTGGCATTAAGTTTAAAAAATTATATTTCTTTTTTAAATCATAAAAACAATTTAATACACTCTGCTGGGTATATTTAACTAATGTTATATTGAGTAATAATTGTATAACCTCAGTAATTATCTCTTCATTCATAGATAATAACTTTTTTTTAAACACATCTTTGTCTTAAATAAAATAAAATGATCATAATAAAACTAAAAATAATAACAAAACAAACACAGAGTACTGTTGATATACCTTTTAAAAGAGAAAATGAATATATGTGTGTGTGTGTATCTGTATATGCTGTATTATTGTTAAAGGCAAGGCACAACTTTTCCGGGGGGGGACTGATTTCACATTGCACTGAATCATGGCTTGCTTTAACCACAGCTTGTTATACAAGCCACAATGGCCATGATCACACAGTGCACTAAGTTATAATGAACAGTTTGCCGACTGCAATGGCTAGATTTGTTCAACATGCTAAGCTGAAGCCAAGCAAGCCATGTTATAGCTTAGTGTGAAGTGCACAGAAAGTCGTATCTGGCTGCATCAGTAGATCTTGAGCAATATAAGTGGGTAGCATCTGGGAACCAACCTTCTTCTCCAGGATATCATCACCTTCTGTTGAGCTGACGCTGTCTCTCAAGCGGGACCGAGAGGGGCGCTGTCGTCTGCCCTTGGCGGAGAGTTGGGCACGGGCCTTCTGTAGGCTACTGTCCAGCCTCTGGGTCTCTGGAATCACATCATTAAAATCTGGGAGTGAAAGAGAGAAACGGGAAGGGGAGCAGAATGGGGCAGGGGGCAGAAAGAGAAGGCAGGCAAGAAAGAGTATTGGAGGGAATGGGAGAAATGGGGGTTCATAAAGAAAAGGCAGAGGGAAGTAGGGACAGCACAGAGATATGGAGCGAGTGTCAAGACAGTGTACAGGGCGAATGCAGCCGAGAGAAGGAGAAGGTGGAGAGGAGAGGGGCAGTTTAAATGAAACTCCCCCAGGAGAGGCACAAAGAAGGCGGCAATGGAATGAGTGGGGTTAAAAGGGGAGGGGGAGACACGGAGAGAGTGTTCAGAGAAGAGAGGAAAACACTGACATTCAGCATCCCCTTTTATAAATATATTTATAAAAGGGGATGCTGGAAATGGCATGTCATAGTAAACAGGCTTCTTGTAGGACTGAGAATCGTGGGAGTTGAAGTCCACTCATCCTAAAGTTGCCAAGGTTGAGAAACACTGCTCTACTGGATATTGTATAGTTCTACAACATTCATTAGGGCCTACTCCCAGGTAAGCAAGTGATGGATTGCATTCTAAGTCTTTCCTTAGAGAAATATGTCTGTTTATTCTTCTTTATTCAATATTTTGGTTGAGGAAATAAGCACCTTCCTCCTGCTGCTCTGTTATCAGTCATCATGTCCTCCCAAAGTGGCTTTTATAGCAAATAAGAAGAGTGACAGATAAGTTACACTGTACACATATTTGTGGGTAGCTCCTATTCCTGGATACAATCCAATTCACAGATTAGTAATATAATTATACATCTCTCTCCCCCCCTCCCCCCTTTCATACACACACAGCTTGAACTCTTAAATATTCAAATTTTCTCCTACATGCAGAGGCACAATTGCACCATTTGCTGTACATACCCAGCATCTCAAGAGCATTTTCCCCGCATACAATTTCATTCCATGCATTGATAATCAGGTAAACTAGATACTGTCAGATAAGATAAACATGGTTTATGTGTGCGTGCACAGGCATATTTTTCTGTGCGGGTGTGCATAGTCCTATGTATAATTGAGTGTTTTTTGAGTGTTGAGTTAGTCACTATTTAACTGAGCACACAGAATTAAAAAAATGAGGAACATTAATATGGGAGGGCATGAAATATCTGACCGCAGTGAGCACGAGAGAGAAATAGAACCTTGCTGAGTTTCGGAAAAGCTGACATTTGGGCTTGATGGATGTTCTCTGCCACAGAACTCTTGCTCTATCAGTTTCAGATGTGAGAAGATGAAATCTATGCTGAGAGTTCCACATAAACAGGAACATTCTCAAATATTGCCATCCCATGCAATGGGTGCACATGAATAAACTTAATGTGGGCATTGCTTTGACAGGGGATGGAAAATCTGCTTGTATCCTTATCTCATTCACCCAGAATCAAGGAACAGATTTTCCATCCCCGGTCAGATGACATAAGTCAACGCCCTGCTCCTATTTCCCTCGTATTGCAACTGGATCATCTGAATCTATCATCATGAACCCGAAGGAAAAACGCCCAGGCCATCGGTGTGGCAAGGGTAGTGAGAGCTAGCATCTTAACTTGCAGGTATAACTCATTTGCCATAACTGGGCAGGGGGAAAAGCAGAGTCAAGCTTTATTTAGTTTGTGTGATTTACACAGAGTGGAACTGTGGTATTCTTGTCTGAGTATGAATATGTTACATGAACTCAGAAACAAACGAACCTGACTTACTTCCTACGCTAAATAAAAACTCAGCTTTGCTTATGAACTCTTAGAATCATTAATTAAATGATTAGATGAACATCCCACCGTCTTTCAAGGCAGCGTTCAGGTTAATAAAAAATAGAAATAAAAATATAATTACAATTAAAAAAGAAACATCCAGCCAATAATGGGAGGGTGAAGGAAGGAGTCTTTGGTATTGTCTGGGATCTCATGCCCAATTCCCCAAAGACAGAGCAGTGACAGCAGAAGCCCATTGCCAAAATCAGAAGAACTCTCATGAGGATATCTCGCTCTGATTTTGATTAGGATAAGATAATGTGTAAATCTCAAAGGACCTCCTTCCTCCCCCTCCCTTCTTGGCCCTTCCCCATCATCAGGATGACCCAGCTGCCAATCAAACCATAGCTGCCAATCAAACAGCAGTGTCTGGCAGGAGGCAAGAAGGAGGGAAGACAAGATGGCTGCCCGGGAGCATTGCCAGTACAGGCCACGTGAGGAAGAGGCTGAATAAACACAGCCAAAGCACAAGAGTCAAATAAAAAAGGAAACTGCCCCGTGAGAAGAGGCAACATGAAAGAAGATAGCAGCTGAGAAAACTGGAGGCATTTATTTCCTTTCTTCAGACTGGCGTGAAGTAAAAGTTTCCCTCAGATGGAGCAAAGTTGTGGAAGAAGAGGAGAAGAATCAAGAAGACCAACCAGGAACAAACAAGGAGGAAAGATGAAGAAAAAGTAAAGACTTTGACAGAAATAGAAAGCAGAAACTAAAAAAGAGCTTATAGAAAATAGTTAAAATAAAAAAATAGTTTTATTAATTTCTACAATAGTTGTAGGCATTTATAATTTACAATTCCTTTTTCTTCTATTTGTAAGCACAGGTGCTTTTAATTTGCTCAGGCAGTCTGTCCTTCCACAGTTGCCAGTTTGCATCCATGTGCAGTTCAAGGTGCTGTTATCATCCATCCAACCCTACATGGCTTGGGACTTGGGTACCTGCAAGACCAGGTAGAATTCTCACCCCTTGGGAAATATGACAGAAGATAGACAGGAAGTGAACATTCTCTCTTACGGGTTCCCTGTTTTGAAACAACTTGACCCAGAAGGTTAGGTTGGCCCCATCCATCCTAAAATATTTTAAAAAGTGGTTGAAACCTTGGGTTTTCTGTAGAGCTTTCAAAGACTGAAGGGAAGAATGTTTTAATTATGAGAATTTTTTTTTCTGAGTAGTGCGAGGTAGGTGCTCTCCTTGACTGTTTGGATGATAAATATTTCTAGATGTGTTGACTATACTTTGGTGTGAGGTTTTTTGGTTTTGATAGTTTCTTCTGTTTATGTAGAATTATACTGGACTATGTAAGCTATTTAGAGCTATAGGACTGAAGCAGCATGCAAGTCTCAGAAAAATTTAAAAAATAAGATAAGATAGATAAGATAAGAAAATAAAATAAAATAAAATAAAATAAAATAAAATAAATAGAAGCATATTCCAAGGGCTGAGCATTTTAAATTAAATTCATGCTCAAAGACCTGTAATATATTGTAACTGGCAGTGATTAAGGAAAACAGTGACAGTCCTAATAGTGTAAAGCAGGCTAGACAACCATAGGGTGCACACAACCCCCAGCACCCTATTTGTGGCCCTGAGATCATACCACCAAAGTTCAGTGGTCAAAGATGGTAATTCAGCAAGTTGGAGGCCCACTAAGCCTTAATAAATGTGGGCTCAAAACAATCCTTGTAACCCTGAAGAGTTAAGAACACATTGCATATAAATTGGGGGTGGGGGGAATTGTGAAGAAATAAATACAGCGTTTGTACAATTTTATGTTTCCTAACATGGAGATCTAAACAGAATATATGATTTTTTTAGATTCTTAAAATCACTCCTATACCAGAAACTCACAGGATGAGTCTCAATGAACCATTCTTCAAGGAGAAAACAGAACAAATAAAAAAACAGAACAAATAATTTCAAATTGAAGATTTGAAATTAAGTAAAGCCCTTGGAGCTGACTTAATGGTATTCCTGCAACTGATTATTTAAAAAAAAAAGAAAAGAAATGATTGTCCCCAGTTCTCTGTTTAATTCAATACTGTAATCACATCTCTGATTCATGGCATCAAGTCTTTCAGTTATGATGCCAAAGCCTCACAAAGATGGAGAGTTAACTGAATCCTAGTGACCAACTGCAGTTTTGAATCAAGATCACAAGGTTTTTACAGCTTGCTAAATTCAACACAAATTATATTAATTTTGATCAAGATGTATTTATGAATAACAGATCCAAATTAGACCTTTAAACCAATTATCAGAAATTCTGTAAAAACCCATTAGTTATTTTAATTCTAGATATTTTTAAAGCTTTGACCAACTCCATTGGTCCTGTCTGTTTAAACTGATCCACCCCCTTTTCTCTTCCAGAATGTTAACACTAGTTTGTGAAAAGACATGTAATATAATATTCAGCATTTCTGAAAATTTTATTTTAATATACTTTAAGAAATTTTAATTACAAAATACCTATTTGGAAATATGCATGTTTCCCCTCTTCTAGGAGAGAATATATATTTATTTATTCATTTAAAACCTTTGTATAGCCGCCCTTCATAAGACCAACTCTGGATATGTATGTTTTTAGGTGCCATATTTCCAGGCACAGATAGCCACAAGCTAAAAAGAACTCTCAAAAATCCAATACAATCTCTCTGCCTCTGCCCTCAAACTCCAGGCTGCTGAACTGAAAAGTGTAGAAATGGAAAATACCTAGCAGGCAGCACAGAAGATCATACCAACAATATCAAAATGTACTGGTTGGGTGTTTTTTTTTTTCCTTCCAGCTGCCTCCTAAGTTGAAAATGGAGATAATTGGCCACATTGCAAGAGCTGCATGGCTCTGTGATATTTAACTGATGCTCATGCAGTTTTGAGTATGCACAGTTGTCTGGAGGAGAGGTCCAGTAATTCTGTAGGAAGCTAAACCACATGGATTTTGGAACAGAAGCTGCTTCATGAGAATCGTGGCCCAAGGGTTCCTGGGAGAATGCATGGACCAGGAACCATCTGTGGTCTGGAACAGGGAAATGATATTAAAGTGACCAGATCTCAGTAGTAGGAGTACATAATTGTTTTGAAGTTCTGGGCTCATGCTTACTGATTGGAATGTATTGGAAGAAACTACCTCAGGCAGAGCCAACTCCAAGTCTGAGAAGTATCTTGTAACCTTCCCTCTTGCATATTTCCTCCTCCCTTGATTGACACTGCTAATATTGGTTAGTAGAGCATTCTGAATGAATACTGGGTTACCAGAAGCAGATTTCCCACACCTTTGACACAAATCATTCTAGAGCTGCCTTCGCCAAGATGCCCTCTAGATGTGTTGAGATTACAACTCCCAGAACTCCTAACCAAGTAGCTAAGGAACTCAGATTTACAGCATGATGGAAAATTAAAACATTGGTTCCAAGCCACTGGGTCCTTTAAAAAATGAGACAGAATAGATATCAGTATTTGATCTTATGAATGGTGTGAATGACCCTGGATTCATGCAGAGAGGCACCACTAGCCATATTAGGGATACCATCTCTAGGCCACAAAAAATGAGAGACACTTTGTCGTACTGGTTAAGGTACTAAATTAGAAACTGGGAATCTGTAACTTTTAGTCCTCCCATAGGCATGGAAACTGGCTGGGTGACTTTGGGCCAGTCAATCTCTCCCATCCTAACCCATCTCATAGTGTTATGGTTATGGGAAAAATAGGAGGAAGAAGCATTATGTATGCCACCTTGATTTTTGCATGCCAAATATCATAGGTCTAAGACATATCAAACAGAATGGCCTGAAAAAAAAATAAGGTGGGGTATTCTAATGAAAATTCAGCCTCATGACCTCTCACCATGACACCCTGCCCAAATTCAGTCTTCAGAAACTCTTGTTGCAAGGCTTCCACAGAGCTGAACCTCTGCCAATCAGAATGGACAATATTAGGCTAGGTCAATAAGCTGGGTCAGTGAAATGCAGCTTCTTATATTGATATGAAGCCAGAAGGCTTCTTAGCTATACAGGGTTCATCAGTAGAGGTTTGTGGAGTGTTTGTGATCAGCCTTACCGAGGCACTTTGGCTCTCAGAGAGTTTCATCTCACCAAAGAGTGAGGCACGATGGGCCAATCCACCATTCTCTTTGCTACAGGAGCTTCTGCTTCCTGTAGTGAGGAAAGTGGCATAGCTGTTACATCTCAATGAAGAGGTGCTGCTTTGCCTTAAAGATGCAGTTTAGCTGAAGCCTCCTCCAAATGCAGGTAGTCCTCATTTAGTGACTGTCTTGTTTAGCAACTGTTTGAAGTTATAATGGTGATGAAAAAGTAACTTTATGACCAATCCTTGCATTTACAACCTTTGCAGATCTGTAAAGCAAAGGAAAGCTGAAGTAAGATTGTAAGCACAGTCAGAGTTTCACTTAGTGACTGCTTCACTTAACAACCAAGTTGCTGGTCCCAATTGTGGTCATTAAATGAGGACTACCTGTAAAAAGCTCTTTGCATTTCATCATGAGCCTCTGCTGCAAGAAAAAGCGTTGCCAATCTGAATTTGGATCAAGTTTTATACTGACTGTATGAAGTGGTTCTATGGTGAGAATATCTCTGAGCATATGCAGAATACTTGCTGTGATTTTCCTTATCACACCAACTTGCAACCAGTGCCATCTTCAGCAAACTGCAACAGTGCTGAAATAACCGCATGCTCCCTATGATGTCATTGTGCAAATGCTGCCATTGTATACTTGCATCCTAATGTCTGAAACAATTATGCAAATCTCTGCATTTGCATGAAGACATTGTCACAGATGCTTTGTCATTTGCTCCACCTCGTCCTTCCCCACTCCCAGAGACCTGTCCTCCTGCACATCTGGCAGTGGAGGTTGGGAAAGGACTCCATATGAAATTATGTGGGTTTGGAGTCACTTCCTGCATGTCTTTGCCCTTCCAACCTTGATTTCAGAATACGATCTGCAATAAGGATCTCAGCAGGACTCATGCATTTCTGCTTAGGAAGCAGTCACTGGATGGACTATGGATGGGATGAGGATGGGAAGGTGAACGGTACTTACCAAACACTTCATCTGCATCTTGGAGCTTGGAGGAAGACATAATGAAGTAAATCTGTGAAGGAATCAACAGAGAGAGAGAGAGAAGGAGGGAATAAATGAAAACCATAGTTGGGTCTTTCAATGCACTCATGGATATTTATTTATTTAAGCAATTTATATGGCTGCCCAACTCACTCGCGGTGACCCCAGGCGGCTTACAGGATATGGAGAAAGAGAGCAAAAAGTGAGGAGATCTGCCCCAACCTCAGGAAACCAGATCAAAACCCTGCTTCGTTTAAAGATGCATCTCCAGTAACATGTTCTTAGACATCGGTCCTGGCATAAGGAACAGCCGGAGCCTTATCAGCAATTCTGCTTGTCTGACATAATAGGCCAACTCTTATAATGCTGCACTAATGATTACTTCTCCTAAGTCTTTGAATCAAATTTGCTTCTTAACGCTGAAAAACGGGGTGTTTTCTCCCGAAAAAAATAAATGACAATTATAACACTATTTTTATTTCTTTATTTCTTTATTTGCTAGACTGTCTTTTTATATACCTTCACATAGCCCCTTTTAAACAAGGGCAGCAGGTCAGAGAACAGCCCTGGAACAGGGAAGAGACCAGGGACAGAGGGATCTGGTTACCTGGTTGAAGATGCATGTCAGAATTTTACACAGATTTTTTTTAAAAAAAAAAATGTTTTGTTAGGCGGCAGCTGAGGGTGATGCCATATATCAGGGGGCATAGCCCTCTGGGGGTTGCATTAGATGCATTTCACTTGTCTGTGGCCACAGTGGACAGACTGATGACAATCCTACAAAGTGGTCACATGTGTGAGGATTGGGCACCACATGGGCACCATTTCCAGCCAAAATTTTTTTTTTAAAAAAAAATAGGGCTGTGTCTGACTTTGGGGCTGTAAAGACTCTATCTCTGGAGTGAATGGTGGCCTCACATGTCCCTGAAAAGAGGATTCAGAAGGACATAAATGTGACAAATAATAGCTACCAAGTTTGCCTATCAGAGAGGAAGGTGGAGCCCAGGGGCTGATCATTGACAGGCACTTGCAACAGGCTGTTCTCCATTTTTAGTTTATTTTTTTCCCTTTAAACTAGCTGTTTAAATAAAAGAAAGCTTCAAATACAGCAAGTGTGGGTAACCTATAGTCTAAATGCTGTACGTGGCCTTAAATACATTTTTTTCTGCACACCTGCTGAAATTTACTGTGAACTCCCACCTGCCCAAGTGGTATGATTTTCCACTAAATTTTACTGTAAACAATTTTTTAAAAGTATGTGAGTACTCAGGAATCCTTTACAATCAGTTTTAAAAGGTTAATTTGTGTGTGTGTGTGAGAGAGAATCTCTGTTATATGTTTTATTTATTACAGTTTTGGGCAGGCTATCCAAATATTCCAGAGTTACTTATTTTAGAATATTTCTATTCCACACTTTCCACTGAAACAAAAATCCCTACATTATTTATAACAAAGCGGCATTACAACATTAAAAAATAAAACCAAACAAATCCTTCAAAAAAATTAAAAGTAGGGAGCTTAGTGACTATGAAAAGATCAACATAAAAAGTTTTTTTTTTTTTTAAGTTCCCTGAAAACTTCCAGCACTGAACCCAACAGGAAGTAATTCCACAGGACAGATTCCACAGAAATCTTTGTGGGCTACAGGCATATTGAAAACATAAAATGCAAATAACAATGAGGAGCTGTTACTAAATCAGCTTGTAAGTGAACTTGGATAGGACAAAAGCAGGGGCAGTGTGGGGTAAAAAGCCAATGGGAAACCAGCAAGCCCAGAATTAAACAATACAAAAATCAAAAAGCCATCCAGCCATTCCAAAAAAAACCTTGATTTAGGCATCTAAATAAGCCAACTCCTTATTTCTGGGACTTATTAATAAAGGAGACTGGCATATACCAGTCTTAAAGCCGTGAGAGCTCTCACTGCTTCCTTTCTGGTATGGGGGTGGGAGTGGATTCGGTGCGTGCATTTAGTACTTGCATGACACTATGACTTGATAGGCCTCTCCACCAGAGAACAATCAACATCAGCTAGTCCAGCCCTCTGGCCAATTTTCCATATCTAACCCCACCCCTCTCTCTGACACAAAAGCTCTGTGTGCTTCCTTGGCCTGATGGGAAAGCTAGAGATCGAATGAATATGGAGGAGAGAGGAGGAGGGGGGATCCCATATGTCTGGGCTGCAGGTCAGCCACTGCTTGGGCCTGCCTATTAGGGAAATGAGATGATCAGGTGGGATCTCCTGGGCAGGAGGGAGAAGGCAGGAGGTGGGGGGGGGGGGGGCTTTGGAAGATGGTGGGGGACAGAGGAAAAGGGAGATTGTTGTAGGAAAACAGAGGCACCCAAGAAGCCTTGTTGGCTTAGTCAGAGCCAGGACAGGAAAAGGCTGAAGTCTGCATGGCATTCCCAAGTGCATCCTTGCAAACAGGAATTCCTTTTGGATCTCAGTGATCATTTCAAAATTGTCTCTCTTATAAGTACTTGCTGCCTTGTAAAAATGTACTCATATTAATGTTTACTGCAGATGCCAATATTTTCATCAAAATGTCCATAACTTTCTCTCTCTCTCTCTCTTTCTCTGTTTGTGTGTGTGTGTGGCAGAGAGAGGGAGAGAGAGATGTAGAATAGCTTTCTATGCAAAGAGAGCTTTCTTGTAGAACATTGGTTGTACAGGAAACATGTAATTGGGACAAGCAGAGATCCCTATAGAATATATGTGCATGGAATATTGCTCTGTTTCTGAAAATGGTCTTTTGTTGTCCCCTACACAACTGGGGCTTCTTCCAGGCACTCTTGCTACCAAATGTATCCACCAAAGTGCATTTCAGCATCTGAGCTGGAACAGGATGGCCTGATTTCTTCTGTAGGAGTCTGTTCCTACCGTGCCCTAAGTGCTTTCAAAATTCCCAGGTACCTGGCATCACTAGAGGGGGAGAAAAGCAAGGAGAAAAGGCAAAAAAAAAAAAAAAAAGGAATGAAATGAAATGAAATGCTTTGGGGACATTTGTAGGAAAATAAAGAGAGGAAGTTCAGAAAGGCATCTCCAGAGAAGGGAGAAGAAAATGCAGTAAAAGGAAATGGAGGCAGCGTCTATCCTTCGGAGAGAAATAGGCCAGGAGCACATACAAGGCCTAGCTTTAAGCCGCCTCTCCCTCTCTCATGTACAACAGCATCAGACCCATCAGCCTAATCCAGGTCTTCTTTGCAAAAGGACACAAGTTGTTGTCCAAGAAACAGCTCCGTTTCTGGGGACCCGTTCTGCCACTGAGCTCACAACAGCCTTGCAGAGCAGATTGAGAGGAAGAAGCAAATGTCAGAAGGCCACTCTGGACCTCCAAAGCCAGATCCTCTCCCCCACCCCCGTCCACATGGAGCACTGCAGTCACTGCACCATGTCTTTCTCAGTTCATAGGGATGGGCAGAGAGAGAGAGAGGGAGAGAGGGAGAGAGGGAGATTGCCTGGATGTTCCAAATCCCTTCCTGGGTTGGTGAAAGGCCACAGAATAGAGGAAGAGATGGAATCCCACCCACAACCTGTGGTTTGGAGGCACAGCTGGAACTTCAGTAAGCAACAATGCAAAACTAAGCACATTTACCAAGGGGTGGGAAAGCACTCCATCGAGTTTTGTGGGCTCCCTGCTGATTAAGCCCCCTATGAATACAGTCCTTCCCTGCAGTTGAAGGCAGGCCATTAAAGCTGAGCAGAGAAAGAAGTGAGACCGTTTGTGCCAAAGAGAAGTAAGTCATTCTTGTTCAAAATATGATCTGCATTTCAGCAGGGGGTTTATTTTCCACAAGATAATAAATATAACTGGGTTACTAAGAATTGTCAGATACTTTATAGTAAGAATTACTGGTAAAATACCAATTTATAACACAGCAATCTGAAAAGGGTGGGGACTTTCAAGCGTAGCAAAGTACCTGCCTGTCCCCTGCCTCGCCTGTACCTCGTAAGAAGAGGCGAACCCTGATTTTTATCCATTGGTTGATTTGCTTTGAAATCTTCTACTGTAGATCCATTTCCTTCTCTTTTCCTATCAGACTTCTAGGATTCTCTGCAACTCGCCTTTCCAGGTGGGATCAGAAAGAAACAAGGGGGTGGGAAGAAACCGTGAACACGGGATAACAGAACAAACCACAAGGCAACAGCTTAGCTTCAAGACAAGAAAACCACAACACGAGGAGGGCTGGAATAGTTTTGGGCTGCCTGGAGGAAACACCACCTTTGAAACTAAAGGCCTGAATGTAATTCACTGGTGATATTTTCCTCCTCCTCTCCTCCTCATCCTTGGGCCTTCTCTCAGGTACTAAAGTGTCTGAAATTCACTGAAGCACTAAAACTAACATATCAACACAAGGGGGAAGGGATGGGGGACACAGAAGTGTGACTTACCTGAGGCACCGAGACATCCTCAAAAACCTAGAGATCTACGGATCTCACGCCTGCAATTTTGGAGCCTTTCTCTGCTCTCCCCATCGTCTCTCTGAGTCCTCCCTCCAGTTCTGCTTGCTATACCTTATTGTGTTCCTGCAATGTCTGCATCCAAAATCAAAAACATGAAGCAAAAGCAAAGCAAAGCAGGAGAGCAGAGGAGGAAAACATCCAGAGCCGGGCTGTTTCCTTCTGGGGAGGTGGAGCTTGCAGCTTTGCGGTCCTGATTTAAATGGTGGGGGGGGGGGATGGGGGACACCAAAACCAAAAAAGAAAACCAAAAAAAAAAACCAATTAACCTCTGAAATAGCCAAACGGGGGCCAGGATGGTCCCAGGGAATTGGAGGCAGAGATTAATTGAAAGCTGGAAGCAGCTTAGCTGGGAGGCTGAAGAAGGAAGAAGACACAAGCACGGTGTTGCTTTTCTGAGAGCCTGGGAGCTTTTGGCTCGGCCTGCCTGCCTGCTTGCCTGCCTGCCTTCTCTACATTCCCAGGAGGCCTGGCTCTGATCTGATGGTTCCAGGCGTCCCTCCAGGCGGCCGGAAAGGGTAATGAGCAAAAGGTTGGGACGGATGGAGAAGGGGCGGGGAGGAGGGGTTGGGATAAGTGGCAGAAGGACGCTGCAAAAACCTGCCCACAAGCCTCAATTCTTGACTGATGCCAGAGCCACTGTAAGGCAACATCCTGACTAGGATGAACACAAGTGGCACAGAAGCATGTGCAAGCTTTCGAGTTCTGCAGAATTATTTGTCAGGTGAGATTTTTGCAGAAAAGCAGGATTTGCTTGACCACTGATGTCAATTTATGTTCTTCACAGAATCTCACGGTGTCACTGTTTTTTGTGTGTCATAAACAGAGGAGCTGGGGATTCACGGCTAGTTTACACCATGGCTGTTCATCACCTGATGATTACATCATCAAGTGACAACTTTCCCTTGTGAATGGTCCTCAGATACTGAATAAATATCACAGAGACTCTGCATAAACACATCATTCAGAGCCAGTTCACATGTTCAGCTACTGTTGAATGCCCAGCAGTTGCAGGTAGAGAATAAATGTAAGTGTATGCATGGATGAAACAGGCTCTCTGATTTCCAGTTCTGCTATACAAATTATGAGGAGGGGATAAACATTTGGAAGTTGTCTTCTCTCCTAACATACTGAGCATTCTTCACCCACTAATGAATGACCTGGAGCTGATATTTAATGAAGTCCTGCAGCCATTGTCACTTAACATTTCCAAAAAGTACATGGGGAGCTTGTGACCCTCTGTATGTTGCTAAACTACAGCTCCCAAATTCCTCACCTTATGCTGGCCAGTGCTACTGGAAATTCAAGGACATCTGGAGTGTCATGGTTTGATATCCACTTGATATCCACTAGCTTTGGGAAGCAACCCCATCATAAATCCATGGCCCAATCTCTACAGTGGCCTTCTCCAACTTGGTGCCTCCAGAATTCAAGGACATCTGGAATGTCAAGGACTTCAAATTCAAATTCAAGGACATCTGGAGTGTCATGGTTTCCTCTCCCTGTTGCACTTGATATCCACTGGCTTGATATCCACTTGATATCCACTAGTTTTGAAAAGCAACCCCATAATAAATCCATGGCCAATCTCTACAATAGCCTTCTCCAGTTTGGTACCTCCAGCTAAGTTCAAAAATTCCCAGCCAGCCTGTTCATGATTACTAGTAATTCTGGGAATTTCAATTTCCACACATCTGGAGGGAACCAGATTAGGAAATGCTGCAGTAGCAACTCTGGACCATAGCAGCCATTATATACTTTCCCCATGACATTAAACTGAGATTGGCTATATGTTGCAAAGTTTATACCAATTCCTGCTCAGTTCTCATGAACAACCTATTTATTCTTACAAAAATGGACCAGAGATCCATGCAGTCTCCCATCCTTCTTTAGGCAGAGAGAAAGAGTTTTAGTATAATATATATTAATAAGTCATGTTACCAAATATTTTTTTTAAGTGTGTAGGTTTAGTTGAATAAATCATGGTTGTATAGTCTAGAAGACTGTTCCGTTATCAGCAGAATCAAATATTTGATTGTTAAGGATAGTTATAATTCTGGATGCGTGTAGTCAGTGTGTGTCAACTCTGCTTGCCTTTAGAAAAGCTGTTAAGACCCGGCTTTTCTCCCAGGTATTTGGGTCCAGTTGAGTGGAGTCCCCTTTTAGGTGTTTAATTATCCTGTTTGGTTTACCATTTTATATATAAGGAAGGTGTTGTTGTTTTTAAATGATGTAGCAGTTTTTGTTTGTTTGTTTTTGGTCAATGTTTATTTTTGTTGTACGGTGCCCAGAGTCACATCGCTGAACTGGCTGAGACTCAGGCAGCATATAAATTTAATTAATTAAATTTAATTATTTAATTAATTAATTAATGATAATAATAGAGATTGGGCAGCCTTATAAATGTGTGGAATAAATAAATACATGCACAAATGCATTTCAAATCCTCAGTAACTTTGATTTTGACATGAACAAAAGAGCTCTGGTTTTCTTTTGCATTAAGCTCTTTTCAACCTCTATTGCTATCAATAAGCAATTCAGATACAAATATAAGCAATTCAGAAATAAAACTACTTAATATTGCTTTGGATTAACAGACCTCTTAAAACTCCTTCTCTGCAGGCAAATTACGCCCTCAGTGTATCCTCTACTGTGATCATTTTCTCCCATTTCTACCTCATTATAAAGAGACAGCAATATAAATTCCTCCAACCTAGTGTTCTAACTCATCTTTCCAGATCTGTGTTATAGGAACTGGCTCAGAGGAATGAAATATGGGTTGTTTTGAGATGATGGCAGGATTTGCTCAGAAGAGGTAGAGAGTTTGGTGCTGAATGGACAGCTCCAGGACTTTTGTTCATCTAACTTGGGTTGAGTTTACCAAACGGGATTAAAAAGAGCGAAAGCATTCTTAGATGCTATACTATAGAAGCGAAGTCCTGCTGAATGCAAGAGTACAGATTAAAGCTCGTCCAACAGATGGCTACCCAGCCACCATGTGTTTATACTATAATTTAAAAAATAATTCATCCCTTTTCATTGAATAGAATTCTCTTTTGATAACTGTGGCATATACAGTGTGGCTGGACTGTGGTGGTGCAGGGATTATGTGAGCCAACATTATACCTTTTGTGCCCTCCTGGAATGGATGGGTTAAAAGCTTGGACCTTTTTGTGGGCTCACACTTTGCAGGTTTGGGAAGATTAGTTGACCAAATAGTTGTCTTAACATTTGCAGATATTGCCTATTTCAGCCCTTAAACCTTATGAAGCCTGCTCCCAAAATGAGTTGTGGCCTTTACTGCTTTTGGAGTACAGGCAAATGCAGACCTCAGGCCAACAGAAGTTGCATTTCCTAGTAATATATAGGCATTTTATTACATACTAGAATACAGCTATTTCATTTTTTAAAATTGTATGGGGAGTGCTAATGGATGGAAAGTATTCATTGTTTCATTTTAAGCCATATATCAGAGTTGTATAGTCCTGTGAGTTCTACCTCTTGCAAAGGTTTTTTTTTTTTCTTAATGACACTGAAATGATAGAGAGAACTAATATTAAAAAAGATATTACACAGGTTACAGATACGGTCATCAATAGGATTCCAATTGAATATCACTAACAGGGTCTTTTCTATCTATATTTAAGTCTGTATCCACTCCATTGTAACTGGATATCCAAATAGATAAGATCATTTGCTAATCTAATAAGCCTGTATCATCTAGGATATTGTTAATCTTTGCATACAGGGAAACATTGCTGTTCACAGATAAATAGCTCTAGATAAATAAACAGTAGCATTTAAGCAACTGAATCCAACTCCCTGTTCATTTAGGAAGTCATTTTAAAGCACTGCTGATAAATCTCTATCCAGTCAGATATGTGTGTATCATAAATCAAGATTCCCAAGGCTTTTTGAGCCAATGTGCATATTTGGAATTTTGATTAATTTCACTAAATGGTTGCCATGGTGTGTTTGGCCAATCACAAAACACCTCAAGGTGAATAAAGGGGAATAAAGCACAGGGCTCCACTTTAGTTTTTAAGAATGCCTGCATGGCCTACCTGGGGCCCAGGGGTATTGTAATTACAGACTATGCTTGAGGCTAATGCTTTGCTGTACAGTTAGATATTTCCCGCTCATTTAAGAAATAAAATAATCTTTTTAAAAAAAATCAGTAGGGAAGGGAGAATGGTGGGTATCACAGATCACATTGATGCCTCCAGATTCCATGTTTGGGATCCAGGTCATGGATACATGTGAAGCGCAGACAGTCTCTGCTGGTTATCTATGATTAAATTGGAATTAGAATGTATTAATAGAAGAGCTGTCAACATACAAGATGGAACAATACCTTTACACACAAACAAATAGACACTGTTTCAACAGATCTGCCATCTACCATTCTAACTGGACATTCTCAGTAACTATAATCTAATCCATGACATTTGGAGGAGCCTTGGTTGGGGAAGACTCTTTAAAGAACACTCTTTAGTCCTATGAAGTGTCAAAGGTTGTGCTTCAAGAGTCCCAGACATGGGGTTACATTATAATTTAAGTACTGTAAAATTAAATATAATGAATATGACTATTTAATAAATGTCCCTTTCTGTCACACTGAATGTTTTGTTTTAGCAGAAATTCTGTGGGCTGCACTTTAGGATTTGGGGGTCACATGTGGCCTGCAGTATCAAGTTGTGCACCATGATTCTAGTTGCTTAAATCAGTTTGGTTTTGATATAATTCTTCCATGTCTGCTCAGATGCCCATATATTCTTTTCTCAAAATATACTTTTTCTTTGTTTCATTTTGGAGATGGTGTCTCTGGGTAACTTCCCAAAATTGCTCTTAGGACTTGCAGCAGCTTGACAAGACGGGCTCTCCCTTGAGGGAGCTCTTTCAGCAGAGATAGGACAGGCCTATGTGTGGGGAATGCAGTAGTTCTAGATTGCTTATCTTGATCAGGGAGGCTCACTCAAATGACCACCCAACTCCTTCCCTAATCCTACACTAGTGGTAGAAGTGCTCCTACACCATGACTGTTTTACCTTAGGTGTGGCTTCCCTTATTTCCAGGAACAGCATAGTTAAAATAGAATGGGGGAGGAGGTTGAATTCTGTTATGTTTTATTTATTTGGAACCATGCTTTGGAAAGCATTCATTGTCCATCAATAGCAAAGTAGGCAAATTCTAAATATATGCCTGCAGCTGATCAAACCTTCTGAGAATTTTGTGTGTGCAATGTGTGAAATATAGAGTTCTTTCATTAGCTCCTAAATTTCTCAGGATAAACTAACCCGTACCTCAAAATATATTGGGACCGCAACTCCCATCTTCCTCAGCCAACACGGATGTGCTGTTGGAGTCGATGGGGAGAATAATTTATATAGTTACCAAATCTATTTATGTACTGATTCCCACTTCAAGAAAAGATATTTAAAATTACGTCAAAATTACATCTTTGGAAAAGAAATAGGTTCTTCTCCCAGTCC